AATCATAACTCTCCTTCAGGTCCCATGTCCTTTCCTCTGTTTCAAGGACTAGATGGAAGAGATTTGCTCAAAGATTGGAAATTTCTCTCGGGCTGTGTGTGTGTGTGTGTGTGTGTGTGTGTGTGTGTCAGAGAGAGAGAGAGAGAGCGAGCTCGCGCCCATATGAGAATTTTAATAAAGTATGGATACAGCCCGGTCCAAATCTAAAGCACCTAGTCTGAGTCGAATCTCCCCCACAGTCGCATCGCCTCTGACCTCCCTACGCGGTGTTGATTGTTTACAGGCTACTGAAGAAAAAAAAAAAAAAGCCACAAATAAGAAAGACAATGACCTGCAAATTGCAGGAAAGGAGGGAGGAGACTGTTGGGTATTGCATCCCAGGCGTGCCTCCTTCCTCAGTCTGACTGTTGGTTTTCTCTCTTTGCCCTGTGAGTTTTCCAGTTCTTTCCCACTCCTCTCCAAATTTGGTGGAGGCAGGGGGAGGAAGAAAAGAGATAAAGCTGATTAAGTGAAGGAATAAACAATCCTGGACAGGCCTAGGATACAAACTCGAGCAGTCCATTGTGAAGTACGGATCGGGCGGAGGCGGTGAGGGACCGCTCGCCCCCCTACACCGACTCCCTCTCGCAGGCTAGGCGCCGAGCCGTGCTGTTCCCCCCAGCCCCACACCGCCCCCGTGAAGCCCACACCCTTCCTCAATCTCGCACTGAGACTCGGCCTTCTGATCTAAAACTGAGCTGGGCTCCACTAGCCCTGAATTCCAGTGTCTGATTTCTTTCCTCCAAACTTCACGAATGCAGTTTTAAGCCCCTCCAAACCACCGCCAGCTGAGACGCTGGGACTTAAGCAGCACGCTAAGCAACTTTAAGGTGCGAATCAAAGGCAAAGGATGTGTGTGATCCGCGTTGGGTTAGCGGGAGGAGGGATCCGAAGAGAGAGCTCCGTCGCCAGAGCATCTCCCAGTTGCGAGGGTTACTAGTCTCTGGCCGGGGCTTTCCAAGCCGCCTGCGCTGGAAGTAGGGGTAGGAACTAGACAAGAGGCCGCAGAAGGGCAGAAAAAAGAGAAAAACAATCGAGCGGAAGAGACGAAAGAAAAAGAAGGAGAGAGGAAGAAAGAGAGGAAAGGAGAGCGCGGGAAGGAGGAAGAAACAGTGAGAGCAAGCGCACGCAGTGTTTGGAGCCCCGCCAGATAGCGCTAGAGGGCTATTTATTGAAATCCTTTCTGTGCGATGGTGAAGCAGCTAAAATTGGGAGAAATAAGAACAGGGGAAAAAGCGAAAAAAGTTATAATAATTTTACTCCATTTTATTTAAAAAAATAAATTGTGCGGTGCTTAAACGTTATTAATGGGAGGAGGCAGAGAAAAAATTATTATAGAAAGCTTAAGTGGGAAAAGGACCAAAGGACCAAAAACCACCACCACCACCACCACCACCACCACCACCACCAACAACAACAACAACAACAACAAAAGGAAACAAAAAAGTCCCCTTGCCTCTGTTGATCCCAGCTAGGAAAAGTGAGTAAAGTTAACAGGTAAGGAAGCCAGTGGAATTATTTCTAGGCCAACTTTGAGAGCTGCTGGCTACACTGCTGTGAAGGTCAAGAACAGTTCACAAGGATAAGCCGATGTATATGGAGAAGGGATGTTTTAAAAGTAATAGATGGCCGCAAGGGGTGGAGAAGGAGAGACAAACACGTTATTGGAAACGCCAAATAAAATATATATCAAAAATTCCAACTGTCAGCTAGCAGGTCTTGGGCAGAAGATAGCCCCTTCTGCCTTTGTCCCAGGGATGCTGGGCTCAGGGCTGTTTCTGCAGGGCTGAAATCAAACTCCTTGAATAACAATGTAGAAATACTCTGAGAAGCTTGGAGAAAATAACTAGACTACAAAAAAAAAAAAAAAAAAATTCACTGTGTCATTCAGAACCTAAAGAGAAGTGCTGGGAATGGAAAGAGAAGACCTAATAACAGAGGTGGAGTCCAGAGATAGAGAGAGATGGAGAGAGAATAACATATTTTTGATCACTTTTACTTGCTCAGTTCAGTAATGCAAGAAATAAAACTTCTTTCAAATGATACTTTACTTTTAAGTATTGACTTGGTTTTATCCTAAAATCCCTGGCATTTCACATATCTAGTTTCTCTTTTTAAACCTGAATTTTCCTTTTACCTGAAGGAATTTTTGAAAATCAAAGTAATAATTCATATCTTTTTTTCAAAACCAGTAAATAGAACTTCCCTCCCGGAATAAAAATTAACCTTACACAGTTTTTAAAGATCTGCTTAATCCAAAATATTCCAAATTAAAACATTAAATAAAGTTACAAATAAGATTAAGGTTGGATTTATTTGCTTCTGTAGCAAGACGTCAATTGTTCTAACTGTTGTAAGAAGACAAAAAGGATTTAAACCTGGCAATTTTAATACACAGATTAACACTTCGGACTTCACAGTTCTGAGGAATTTGAAGTTATCTGTGCTGAGATTCTATAACTTTCAAGAAAAAGAAAAAGAAACAGCTACACAAGCTCCTTAAGGAGTGTGGGCAAAGTCATTTAGAGTCTGGGTTCATAAATGCTTGGTTCAAATTAAACACTCCCCCGTAAAGCCAATGGCCTTCAAATTAAGGGACTATAGTGGAATTCAATTATTCCTTTTAAATCTTAAATGTTACCTATAATAGCATTCCATGTTGGCTCAAAAAAGAAAAGGAAAAATAGAAAAGTAGCAGTTTTCAGAAGTCTTGGGGTTGCTTCAATAAGAAAGAGGTGATTAAAAACAGACTCTTAAATTTGAGAGGCCCGATTCCCCCTTCCATTGGTCCCCACCCACTTGGTCCCCTCCTTTTCACCTCTTTTTTATGCAGTACCCCCACCCCCACTCCAGAGCTAAGTAGCTGATTTGGGATTCTGAAGAAATAGGTTTCACCATCCATATTTGTTCTGGGGCACTTGTAAAATGCGATTTGTAGAGGGTCTTTAGCCTTCTGATTGTCTTTGAATTGTTTTTACTGAAACAGATCTTTTGCAGTTAATGAGTCCCCACGCAGCTGGACAGCTCCTCTCGGACACTGAGAACTCTAACCCCAAAATGACCCCAATTTGACACCGCAAGATGAAATTTTACCGCCTGTTAAAACCATTTCCAGCCTGGGCAGAAGGAGCTGACTGTTGACGGAGGTGTGTGCCACCTCCTGCGACCCCCATTTCGTGCCTGTCTCCCGGGCCTGCCCCACCTACTTTCCTTTCACCCCAAATGTGGGAGAGCAGATGAGCCTGGAAGCCTGGGCGGGAGTGCCAACGCTGACAATGGGGCATTAGCAAAATGCCACCAGGATGGAAATCAGAAAGTGCGGGTACTCTACTCCTTTGGAATCGCTTCTATTGGACTGGAAAATTGGGGATGGGGGAAACCAGGAAATTCTTAAATGTTAGATGAGCTTTTTTCAGCTCTATTAATAAAACACCAGCAAGTCGCTGATTAAAGGTAACAGTCCTTTGAATTCATCAGACTGACCAAGAACCAATACCTTGAATCGACTCCAACTTGATCTCCTCGTGTGTAATCCACTACACTAGGACTTCTATTTTAAACTAACAGTTTCATAAGTGACATGCAACTAGGTAAGTAAGATCTCTTTCGTTCAAAGAAATTCTGGGTTCTCCCCTGAGACAACTGGCAAATTTTTAAAAGACAGATTTCCTCCAGTAGGAATGCACTTTTAACACTCTCACACTTTTTAAACTAAAAGTCGTTGAAGTTAAATATGATTTTTTGACAATATCTTAAAATGTCATATTTCTCTCTCCCTCCTACACCTAACCATATTGTCCCTGTTGTTTGCTTTAATGTATTCAATAAAATGCAAAAGACGTTAAGAATATGAAAAAGAGAGAGAGAAAGGCGTTAAGGTTAAAAATGCCTTCTGCATCTGATGAAGACACATGAAAAGAAAGTTTAAACTTTTCTTTTTTTGTAAAACCCAAGATTATCACTGGATAATCAACTTATTATTAGCTTACGATTGTTTGAAAATACAGAAATCGGCCGGGTGGGATGGCTCACGCCTGTAATTCGAGCACTTTGAGAGGCCGAGGCGGGTGGAACACGAGGTCAAGAGTTCGAGACCAGTCTGGCCAACATGGTGAACCCCCCCCCCACCACCACCCGTCTCTACTAAAGACACAAAAAATTAGCCAGGCGTGGTGGCGCACGCCTGTAATCCCAGCTCCTCAAGAGGCTGAGGCAGGAGAATCGCTTGAACCCGGGAGGCGGAGGTTGTAGTGAGCCGAAATCGCGCCACTGCACTCCAGCCTGGGCGACACGGCGAGATTCCGTCTCAGAAAAAAAAAAAAGAAAAGAAAAAGAAAATAAAGAAAGAAAAAATATAGAAATCATCAATCTGTCTGAATTGTTTTTACTTACACTGCCAGGGAAGGAACGTTTTTCTAGAAATGCGACTTAAGTTTTTTTAAATGAAAGCTATAGAGATGCTAACTCACTTTACAGTATCACTGTAAAAACAGAAAAAGAAACAGAAGGTAGCAATGTTGAATGTTTAAACCCTGCAAGGCAGAAGTTCCGCGTGAAGTTGATCTTTACAAAAAAGGTTTATCAAGGACACTGAGGAGTCTCCTTTAAAAAGAAACGTTACTGGCACTTATTGAACAAGACATTTGAAACAACAATAATCCTATTGGCGACGATAAACTTAAATTCCTAAACTGAATTTAAGAATAATGAGAAGAGTAAAAACAGTACAAACTTCTCAGCCAGCGGCGCTGCACCGGGAACTTGGACCCACCAACATCAACAGCTTTGCAAAGTCGAAAACGCTCCGCGGCGAGAGCAGACTGTGGTTTTTTCCCCTCCACACCCCGCCGCCCTCTCAAACCTCCCGGTCCCGGCTAAACTGAATTCGCCTGTCGATTGAAATAAAATTCTGGAGACCAACTTTTTCTTTTCTCTTTCATCTTCTTTTCTTTTTTACTCACCTTCTCTTAAATGTCGACGAGCAACTCAGCAACAAATAAGAAGGATACTTTTAATCTTGTAGTTCTTCTAGGAAAAAAAAAAAGAGTACGTGGAGGAAGTACCCTCCCCCCAACCTTCAGATTTCCTACCCGTCGGCTCTAGCAGGCTTGAAGCCGGGCAAAAAGAGTGGCTGAAAACCGGGGCTACACTCTCCTCCCTGAAGCTCCGTGAGTCCGGCCGTCCCTGCTCGGGCCACTGGGCAGAAACCTCGCGGCCCGCAGCCCCTCTCCCTGGCGTCGCGCTATCCGCGCCTCTGCCAGCCCCTTCGCACTATCTTTCTTTATATGTGAGGGCCGATTTCCCGCAGACATCATTGTTATGATGGCTCATTTAATCAAACTGTTTAATTGCTCTGGTAATCACTATCATCATCACAGGTGCTCAATCATTCATCATTTTTGGAGGGCTTTATTGACCTCCCGAGTTCATTCCTCAGCCCTATTAAAACGAGGCCAAATTTCTCCGACTCCGCTTGGAGTCTCTGCAGTCTGCAATCTTAGCCTAGTTTCTGTTGCTCGAAAGCTTACAGTGAAGCAGGGAAAATGGAAAGGGGGCCAAAAAAAAAAAGAGCCCTCCCACCCGCCCTCCTCCCCGCTCTTTCTCTCTCTCTCTCTCTCTCACACACACACACACACACCACACACACACGCACACACAGTACTTTATTCTCTCTAATCAACCTCCCCCACCCCACCCTCCCTCCGCGGGAAAGTCGGATAGACGCGGCGCGCGGAAGACACTCTACTCTCCACTTTCCAGAATGGGTTCAAAGTTGGGGAGGGATGCGGCTGTGGGGGAACAACAGTCCGCTTTCCACTCTCTGGGCCAGGGACTCGGAGGGCGAGAGCGAGAAGTTGGGGAGAGGGCGCGCTTCCAGCGCCTGTCCCGGCCGGGCCGCGCCACACGGGGCCGAGGCGCGGCGGGGGCTGCTAGGCTGCGCGGCTCGCGCCGGGTGACCGTGGCTCCGCCCCCAACTCCGGGCTCGTCGTGATTGACGCGCGGCCGCCGGGAAACCAGCGGCGCAGAGGTGAAGCCTGGTGCAGCTTGGGCCAGGGAGGACCAGACACCGGCAACAACTAGTTTCCACCCAAACGGTGTGGGGTAGTTCCTTTCCTTTCCTTTTCCTTTTTGGAAAAGTTCTTTCGGAGCTGGCCCCATCTTCCTGACCCCGCGAAATCGCCCCTGTGTAATTAACACAGCCCTTAGCAGGCGTTACCGCGGCCCGCCGCTGCGCCTCGGGCGACCACAACAAAGCTGGGCTGTGAGCGCCGGCCACTCCTCCTCGCCCGGCAACTTCTTTCTCCCCCTCTTTCCCTCCTGTGCTTCCCAGCTCTGAGTAAGATCCACTTTGGAGACGCACACTCGTCGCGCGCGCGCGCGCGCGCACACACACACACACACACACGCCCTTGGTTACATCGGACCCAAATGACTCTCTCTTCACTTCCTCCCTCCCGATTCCGCCGCAGCCCCCAAAGACTCTCGGGGTGGCCCCTTGTCCGCACCGCTGGGAGGGAGTGTGCTCTGAATTAAGCTGGTCTCTTCTGTTCCTGGAAAAAAATGAGTATTGACAAGGTTGCTGGATCTGCGCAGAAAAGAAAGTGCCACTTAATAAAAAATTTAGCCCGGCAATGGTACGGTCTGCAGAGCTTGCTGCCCTTGGACGTTAGCAGGAAGCCTTCGGGGTGCTGTAATCGGCGGGCAGAGGAGAGGGAGGCCGCGGAATTAAAAGGAACAAAAGCTAGAGCGCCATGCCAAACGTCTCCGACAAGACCCGGTTAGGCAGGAGCCGGGAGTGATGGGAAAATGAACTAGAAGTAAGTTTTTGAAAAAAAAAAAAAATGAAAAGATCTGAGGCGGTACCGTACTTTCCCTGTGGTTTTCTGCAGTTTTCCTCTCTGCGCTCTCCCTGTCCTCTTCTCTCTCTCTCCCCCTCTCCCTCTCTCCCTGTTCGCGCGCGCGCACAACACACACACGCGCACGCACACACACACACTCTCACACACACACACACACACTCTCCCCTTCCTCCCCCCCGCCGTTCCCCATCCCCGTGGAGGAGCAGGCTCGCTGATTTGCTCGGGTCCGCCCGGCTCGAGCCTCCCCTCCCCCTCCCGCCCCCCGCCTCCCCCGCCCCCCCAGCCGGGGCTGTCCGATCGCACTCGTTGCATATCAGAGGCTCCGCGCGGCGCGCTCCTCCTCGCTCCCGCTCCCCACTCCCGGGATGTGTCTCCGCCGTACGACGGGCTATGGCCACCACGACTTCCGGGTTCCGTCATTTCGTTCTCCCGCCGCCGACCCGCGCCGCCAAACTGAGGCTCTTCAATAAGCCAGGCAGCAGCCAACCTGCCAACACCTACTGACACTCACTCATCTCCCAGAGAGAGAAAGAGAGCGAGAGAGAGCGAGCGCGAGAGAGCGAGCGCGAGTGAGAGCGAGCGAGCGAGCGAGAAAGAGAGAGAGGGAGAGACAAAATACCTACCAGGAAAGGGGGGGAGGAAGTCCAATTTTTGCAAACTATTCATTTTTTTTCTTGATTTTTCTCACTGCTTTCTTTGAACAATACTTTAAAGAGAGAGGATCGTATTATAGATACCGCGGGGGCAAAGCTAAAAAAGGGGGGAGGGGGGAGGAAAAAATTCAAGAAGCAGAAACCCCTCGCGGAGTTTTACTGGAAGAAAAAAACGGGTCTGAAAGATTCCTCCTCTTCATCATCATCAACCATCATTCATTCACTACCTTGACATTCCGGGCTTTGATTGACAGCTGGAGTGGCAAAAAGCCATGAAACACGACAGTTCGGTTACATGTGGGCTGCTGACGGGCCGCTCGTAACCTTCAGTTCGGGGGCTTGACAATTTTTTTCTTCTTTTTCTTCTTTTTCTTTTCTTTCTTTCTTTTTTTTTTTTTTTCCAACTGAGGGGAAGAGAAGAGAAAGAGGGGGAAAGGAGGACCGAAGAGGAGGAGGAGGGGTGGGGGGAGGAGGAGGTGGAGGAGGAGGAGGAAGATCAGGAGGAGGAGGAAGAAGAGGAAAAAAGAGAAAAAGAAGAAATATCACAGAAAAAAAAAAAAACTCTTCGTTGTCTTGCCTGGGCTTTTTTTCCCCCCTAAAAAATAACATATTGGAGAATTGGGAGAAGTCTCTTTGGTTTGGAAAAAAAAAAAGGAATCTTCAGCCTAGATCACTTTATTATCCGGACTGGGATATTAAATATACGACACATCCAGGAGTTTATTGGAGCGCAGACTGATGGCGCAAAGGGTAGGTTTAAATCTCCAACACTTACCTAGATATAAATCCTCTCCTAAGAGGGGCCTGTCCCGATGCCTCCTCTCCCTTCAACGCTTCTGCTGCTGCTCGCTGCTTGATTATGGCGGCCAGTATTTTAAAAAATAGCAAAATTATTCATCGGCTTCTTTCCCCCCCGTGCCTCTGCGTGTGTGCGAGTGTGTGTGCGTGCGTGTGTGCGTGTCTGGGCGCGCGTGTTCCAGCGCTGTGCGAGCGGGCGGGCGGCGAGTGCGTGTGAGTGGTGTGTGTGTGTGCGTGTGCAATCGTTACACGCTTTCGCCTCGCTCCAGCTTTTACCCCAGCAGCGCGATTCCCCCGGTTCTCCTGCTGCCGCTGCTGCGCCGCTGCCGCCGCTGCTCGCGCGGCTCGGGGCGGGCACGGGCTGCGTAGGAGCCGCCGCCGGGGCCGCCGCTGGGGCCGCGCTGCCGCAGCCGCTGCGCCGCCGCCTAGACTACTAGCCTGGGCTGCTTGTTTTGTCTCTGAAATTGACAAGGACGCAGGGAATCCGCTGCTAAATAATGTTTCTGGTAACTTTCACGTTATTCCCCCTCCCACCCTCCGCTCCCTGCCCCCGGGGAGGCACTGGCCCTAGTCTTTCCTCGTCCTCGGCGTTCTCGTGCTGATTATTAGCGTTTTTCTTCTCTTTATTTTGTTTCATTTCGCCTTTTGATTTATTGGATCCTCGGAGGAGGCGAAGGGGGGTTAGGGGTGGGATCCGGGGTTTCCTCCTCACACTAACTCCATTTCTCCCTCCGTTGGCTCGCTACGGTTCTGTTGCCTCCGGCGGGAGCGGGGCCTCCCGGCGCCCCCTCAAATCCCCGGCCTCGCCGCCTCCTCTTCCTTCTCTAAACGTTGCTCTTGGTTCATGCTTTTTCATTTTTAAATTTAATAACATTTTTTCCTCCCAACTTTTAACTTCGTTGTTTTGGCTGGTTTGGTTTCTGTGTGCTCAACTTGTGCTCGGTACTTTTCTCCTTTCTGACTTTGTTTTTATTTTTATTCTCTCTCTCCTCTCTCTCTCTCTCTCTCTCTCTCTCTCTCTCTCTCTCTCTCTCCCTCCCTCCTCCTCCTCTCCTCTTTCTTACCTCTCTCCCTCCCTCTCTCCTCTCTCTCATCTTTATCCCTTCCCCTCTTTTCTGTTCACCCTCTTCTCTCTGCTCTTTTTCCCTTTCCACCCCCCTCCTCTGTTCTCCCTCACCTCCTGCGCCCCCTCCCTCTTCCCGGGTTCTGACAGTACGATGAGCTACCCCATTACGGCGGGATGGACGGAGTAGGGGTTCCCGCTTCCATGTACGGAGACCCTCACGCGCCACGGCCGATCCCCCCGGTTCACCACCTGAACCACGGGCCGCCGCTCCACGCCACACAGCACTACGGCGCACACGCCCCGCACCCCAATGTCATGCCGGCCAGCATGGGATCCGCTGTCAACGACGCCTTGAAGCGGGACAAGGACGCGATCTATGGGTAAACCGACCCCCCCGGACCCAGCTTACTGTGTGTGAGTGTGAGTGAGTGTGTGTTTGTCTCTGTGGGGGTGGGAGGGTGGACCACTAAGTGGGGAGTTATTTCTGCATGGTGGGGGGCGGGCGCCGCTTGCCTTGGGAGAGGACCGTGGAGGGGGCCTGCTCTTCTGCCCCTGGAGTCAAAGACCCGAAGAACTAGCCTCCTTCACTCCCACAGCCCGGCCACTCCGGACGCCACAGCCTGGAGTGACTGAGTCCCCAGAATCCTGCCGGGGCCTTCTCCCCGAGGACAGGATTCCTGGCTGAAGGACGCGGGGCTGCTCGTTTCAGTCTCCCTAACAGAGGCCTTGACGAAGGAGAAAGTTTCCTGCCGATGAGGAACAACTTTGGGTTTTTTTTAGTTATTTTTTTCTTCTGTTTCCTATTGAGGGTCTGGGAGTCACTAAAAGCAGCTTGAGCTGGGATCAGGGCTGCTTCTGTCGGCCAGGAAGTCCTAATCACCCACTTCTTAATTCTCTGTAAATAAAGGGGGCAGACCTTGAAGTGCAGCGAGGTGGAAGGGACTGTTGCTTGCTTGGAGCCGCTCTTAGGGGGAGTAAGGAAGATGGCTGGAAATTATTTTATATTCTGAGAGCACTTGGCGAGGGGTGGGATGCAGGATCCTAACGTGTACCACACGGGCTCTTCCGGCTGAGGGTAGGTGGGAAAAGCGACGGGATGCCGAGGGGAGGGGACAGTGGGTAAACAGCAACTGAGCCCCAAGCCAGAGGCCGCAAGCATCCCGAAGTGTGGCTAAGCCGCCCGGAGGAACACAAAGGGCATACGCGCACGCACACTTACAAGTTTTAAAACGCGATTTATTTATTTTTGTCTCCTGTAACGCTGAGAGAAATGTGGTCTTTGGAAGGAAGCTCTACAGCTTGTAACCTTCCTATTATTTCGGCCCCCACACTGGGGCTTTAGTAGAAGTGGAGCAAATAAGTTTATAAGGCAAGGGGGTGGAGAGATTAGAAGAGCATTCTCTTGCATTTAGGAAATGTCACTCCCGTGTGTCTGTAGGTGAAGCCTTCGGCCTCGTCTGAAATGCCCATTAAAATACAGAGTTAAAACTATATTTTTAAAATTTCCAACAGTGTTCCTTTCTTGGGAGATCAGGGCTGGGTCTCAGGGGTTGGTTCGGCGGCCTCCGTAGTGTGGGGAGTGGATCAGAATCGACTCAGGGCTCCAGACTGCCTGAGCGACTCCGATGTTTCATTACGTTCCAACTGAGGCTGTTTTTATTTGTCGGGCTGCAGTGGTCGAGGGTTTCTCTGGCCAGATCTGAGGGACTTCTGAGCTGCGGGAGAGGGCCAGGCCCTTTTCCCTTTCTGTTTCTGGCTTAGGCTCGGCTGATGGAGGAAGGGTTGTAAAGTGTGTTGCGTGGCTGTTGTATTAAAGAAGGACTCCACACCCTCCAAACTTGTTGATTACAGTTCTTGCTCCTTCCCCTCTGCACCCCGTCTCTGTGTGTGTGTCTCTGCCTGGCGCTGCCCGTTAGGCACCCGTTGTTTCCTCTGTTAGCTCTGGTCTTTGAGAAGTGCGAGCTGGCGACCTGCACTCCCCGAGAACCTGGAGTGGCCGGCGGAGACGTCTGCTCCTCAGACTCCTTCAACGAGGACATCGCGGTCTTCGCCAAGCAGGTCCAGCCTTCTTGATCCACTCATCTTCGGGCAGTCCCTCACTACCCCTCCCCTTTCCTCGGAGCTTTACTTGAAAGGAGGAAAGGCCAGGGACACCCGATCTGTTCCTCTGGCCCAGTCCGCTCTCTATGCCTCCTCCCCATCCCTGAGCCTGGGGGCGAATTGGAAGTGGAGATAAATATGGGTGTTTGTTTTCCCCCCCAGCAGGAATACGGGGTCTCGACCCTCGAATTAAAGTTGACCTGCTCCTAATCTGGGGCTTGGCCTTTTCCCCCGCCTCCAGCTACTTGAACAAGAATTGGGGAGAGGGGCTGTGAGGGACCCGGTAGTGCCCGGGAGGCAAGGAAGCTGGGCGCCTCTCCGAGCGGTCCCTGGCAGCAGTGGAGAGCCACAGCCTCTTGGACGGCTGGATAAGGGGATACTTGGGGCCCTGAGAACGACCCTGAGTTGCTGGTTACAGCTTAGTGATACCAGCTCCCCCTTAATGGGGTCAGGACCAGAATGCCCTGATTCTTCTTCAGCGACCCCACTAATTTAAGGCACCAGTTTTTCCTTGTATTTTGCCAAAGCCCCTTTCCTCTTCTCCACCATTGCCCCTTCACCGTCCCCATTCTCACATTTCGGTTTTCTTATTTTAAATGGGGTGACCGTTCAAGCTGACTTTCTCTGTTTCTTACAGGTTCGCGCCGAAAAGCCCCTTTTTTCCTCAAATCCAGAGCTGGACAATTTGGTAAGGCTCTCTGTTCCTTGTTTTTCCCCAGCCTTTGCCCTCTCCCATGCCCAGAAGCACCCACTTTCTGCTGGAGCTCTGGGGAGTTAGAACAGAACCCTCTTTTGGAGCTCTAGGGAGAGAGGGAGGAAGGGCGCAGCCTACAGCCCCCGCACGGGAGCTGGCGAGCGAGGAGCAGGATGAACGTGGTGGGGAGCGAAGCCCAGGGAGGCCAGAACGGGAGACCAAGCGCCGAGAGCGCGAGCAGGGGATGTTTCCCAGGTCTCGGCCCCAGGAGTAAACTGCGAGAAGTGAGTTATTTCCTCTGTTTGCCGGGGCAGGCGGCCGAGCCCCGGGCGGCTAACCCGAAGGATGTAACCGCTGGCACTGCTGAGGGCGGGCTGGGGGTGGGGGCTGGGGGGCGGTGAGGGGCAGGCCAGCGCAGGCCACTTTTAGGTGCGATTCTTTTGCTAATTTGCACGATTTCAATATTAAAAGTACTTAAATCCGCTTTCAAAGGCCCTGCCTCAGCATTCATCTTGAGTATTTCCTTCTTTAGTGAGGAAGGATTTCGCTGGGTATGCTGTTCTAAAAAGCTTTTTCTGTCCTGAGAAGCGACCTTTTTTTTTTTTTTTTTTAATTGTCCTGAGGTCGAGGGAGGGGATGTTTAAAGAGGACTAAAAGGAGAAAAAAGGCCTGGCCCGAGGAAAGCAGTCCTTACAAATAGCACAGTGAACATCAGGGGGAAAGATATTAGTGCTTAAGCTCAGGTTGAGTCAGATTCCTACCCCGTGGCCAATGAGGCAGAGATGATCAGTAATCACTTGACTTTTCTGACTATTTCTTGATCTTTAAGTTTTTCCTGGTCACCTGCCCGTTTCTTCTCCCCCGCCCAATTTTCCCACCACCATCGTCACCCCACTCCCAACCCCAAGACAGGACCTCGGAGTCACACAGCTCTAACTCCATTCCCTGAACTTTGCTTTCAGATGATACAAGCAATACAAGTCCTAAGGTTTCATCTTTTGGAGTTAGAAAAGGTAAGCAGGAAATAACACTCCCGGTGTTGATTAAACCACTTCCCTCTTCTAGTTGAGTTGGGATGTTTTTAACAAGCCTCTAGTATGAAGGATTGAGCACCTGGAGATTTTGAGCGTGTAACCATGTCCATCCTTCAACTCGCTTCTCAACACAGGGGCTCAGAGGGTGGGTGAATCAGGACAGGCTTGCCTTTAAAATAGCCTCCTCCTCCCTGATATTCCCCTCAGGCATTCAGGATTATTTTGA